CAAATGACCTGCCTTCAGGACCACCGACCACCCCTCTCCGTGAGCCCTGGGTGCCCTAAGTGCCCTAAGTGCCCTAAGTGCCCTAAGTGCCCTAAGCCTCAAACGCAAAACCTTGTGTCCACTCGTGTCAGGTACCAGCATCAACCTTGGCATCATCGATCGGCCGCGGCCAGGATCCTCAGAGCTTCTGCTTGTGTGCGCCGTCTGCTTCGAGACACTCAGGGTACTCAGGGCACTTAGGGCACTTAGGGCACTTAGGGTACTTAGGGTATGTGAAGAGGGGGGGGAGGGGGGCAGGGTGTCTGTGTTGGTTGCAGGGGGCCTATGTGCACCCCCCCCTCTTTCCCATATGATCATATTCGCTTATTGTTGGTATAGGTGGTTATTTTTATTTTGTTTTTTTTACATAATTTTTTTTAGTATGTTAAATAAATAAAAAAAACAGAAATAAATTGGTGGATACACAATTGGTTGCAATCATATTATGGTCTTAACATATCTATTATGTTGTGTATATATGTGTATGTGTGTGTATGTATCACACCAATTGCCCTGTCCTGCCTGGCCCCTGCCCCCCAAGCCCCCCCCCCCCAAGTGCCCCAAGTGCCCCAAGTGCCCTAAGTGCCCTGGGTGCCCTAAGTGCCCTAAGTGCCCTGGGTCAGCGAGTCTCTGTGCCCCCCCGCCCAGACGTTTCGCTTGAGGTTTGTTAAGCACGACCTCTGCCAGTGCTCCTCGGTTTGTGTTTTTTCTTTGTTTTCGTCCGATTGTGATTCCTTCCTTGCAGGTACCTCTACACTTTCGGCGTTCTCGATTGGCGCTGATCTTAGAAGTTTACGGGCCTGTTTGGTCGGAGTTTGGAATTTGCGTGCGACGTTGATGGTGCATTCAGGGCACCCAGGGCACTCAGGGCACCCAGGGCACCCAGGGCACCCAGGGCACCTTAGAGCACTCAGCACTTAGGGCACCCAAGGCACCCAGGGCACTTGGGGCACTTAGGGCACCCAGGGCACCCAGGGCACTTAGGGCACCCAGGGCACTTAGGGCACCCAGGGCACCCAGGGCACTTAGGGCACCCAGGGCACCCAGGGCACCCAGGGCACTTAGGGCACCCAGGGCACCCCCAGGGCACTTAGGGCACCCAGGGCACGCAGGGCACCCAGGGCACTTAGGGCACCCAGGGCACCTTAGGCACCCAGGGGAATAGCCTCTAAAGAGAGAGGAAGACGGCATGCCGAGCAGTGAAACTGGACAGCTGGGACAAGTCGAGGCAGACCCTCCCGCCCAGCGGGGAGTGGCGCTTCAACGTGGCGGACGTGCAGCCAGGGTGGCGCAAGGCGCTGGAACAGGAGTACCGCAGCGGCTGGCCGGGCTGGCGCACGAGATCTTCCGAGCTGTCCAGAGCTGTGCTTAGGCGGCTGATTGCCCAAATTGCAGACCGGCGGTCGCGCCGCTGGTCCGGACTAGGTTGCCCTGCAAGCTTAGCGTGCGCATCGGGGCGTTGCGCCACACGCAGAACTTCCGCACCTTCTCGGCGGAGATGCGAGGCGCCTCCAGGCGCAGTATGGCGTCGAAGTCGGCGCACACCTCCTCCACGCTCAGCTGCAGCAGCTCGCCAGCTGCCGGGGCACGCAGAGCGGCTTGTTCTCAAAGGCGCTGGCAGCACGTTCTCCCGCAGGGCAGCTGGCGCTGGCGCAGGAGCGTCTCTGCAGACTGCTCCACAGCCGTCAGGGCGGTGGGGACGAGCACAAATTGAGCCAGTCCAAAAGGGAACGGATACCTTGTAGTAGTAGAGGGTTGCAAATGTGACGCTTGGATCTTTACTGCAGGAAATCCAATATGTCAATATGGAGTGGAAGAGAATGGTGTTTCACCGTAAGCGGCCTTCAATAAGTCCTTTTATATTGCTATCGCATGAATGGTGCAATTTGTACGAGAAAGGGACGGTTGCATGGAGATGAAGGTACGAATCAAGCACAGGGGGGGTTCACGGCCTGGAACATATTTTCGGGATAAGACCACCGTTAGGACCCCGATGACGCGATGACCGCGATGATGATGACTGATGATGGATGACGATGAACTTTGACGATGATGATGATGAGGATGATGATGGATAATGATGATGATCACCACGATGATAGCATCATCATCATCATAATCCTCATCGTCCATGATCCGTCATCGATCATCGATCGTCCCAATTCATCATCATCGTCGTCATCATCCTCCATCACCCATCATCATCGTTATGATCACCCAATGGTGAACATTGTCATCATCGTCGTCGTTGTCATCATCCATCATCACCATCCATCATCATCAGCATTATTCATTGTCGTCATCATCATCTCAGGGTCGTCGCATTTTCATTATCACCATCGTCGTTTTAGCTACTGTAATATCTTATGTACGCCTCAACTGTGCTGTTAGAGCGCTCGGCGCGCAGAGGATGCAACGAAGTCAGCATGCCACGGATGATCGTCATCATCACCCATCATCATCATCATCATCATCATCATCATCATCATCATCATCATCATCATCATCCATCTCCGTCATCAAGATCATCCTCACCATCATCGATGAATGGTCGATGATTGATGAAGGATGATGATGATCATGGATGATGAATGATGGATTTTCGTTGTACAACAAACAAGTCAATCTGATGCTCGAAACTGCCAAAGCGGTCACAAGTCAATCTGACCCCTCTCACAAGCCAATCTAATGTTCACAAGTCAATCTAATGCTCCTCACAAGCCAATCTAATCCCTTTCACAAGCCAACGCAAAACGAACAAGCCAATCCAATCCTTCACAAGTCATTTTGACGCCTTTTGATTAGCAGAACCAAACTTTCACTTTTTCCACCCCTCCGTTTTCTGCAAAACACAACCCGCCTGATTTCGGCGCCATCCGGCAGCAAGGTGCCATGCGAGAAGTAGATTCCCTAAACTACTTGACTCTTGTGCGTGAGTGGAAGCCCTCTTGAAAGCACTCGCGTGTTTGAGCGTGTTCAACACAGCCGGTTTATTGTTTCTCGCTGCCTTTCCAGGCCATGAGAAAGGACATGGGCAAGTAGTTTCAACTTGTCTCCGTACACTTTCAAACAGTCTCGTCTTACCTTTTTGGCAGCCGGTGCGCTTTGTTTGAGACTGTCGGCAACACCACTTTCGCGAAGGCCTCACATCCTTCTGTCTCGTGTGTCTCTCAGGACGCAAGCGAAGAGATGCAGGCTGGTAGATGATTTGACATATCTAGCAAGTCTGTGGCTTTGGCGTGCTATTTTTCCCCGCCAGTTCTGGTGTCGAGTTGGTGGCTGCCAGCAGCCGCCTTCTTTTCTTTTTGCACTGGCAACTCAGAACCTCCTAGTTTATCAGTTGTTTGGGCAGTGGTTTTTGTGCAGCGTTTTTTCTTCTTCTTTTTTTTGGTCATCACACAGCATATGGCGCGCTTTCTTATCTTGGTTGCTGTTGCCTCTTGGAATGTACTGCAATTTATTTTGGATCGGATTGCCCACTGATTAATTTTGTGTTTCCTGGTCCCTATCTTTCTGTGTCGGCGCAAGTTCGAAAGTCTGGAACCAGTGCCTCCTTTTTACGTGTTCACGTTTGATGCCGTTTGTTGCTTTATCTTCAGTGAACGCCACTTTCCCTTATCTCCCTTTTCCATCGTCTGGAAAAGTTGACGGGTTGAACATCATGGTGACTGATTTGGCATTTTCAGGCATGCAGCAGGCGCCTTGAAGCAGCTTAAGGATATTTTTGAGAGGTTACCAGCCAATTGGGCTGCTAGGTGCTCTCCGCCGACTTGTGGATTGACGTCTCTCACCGCTGAGATTCAAGCCTCTCAACATTATTGTTTTTAAAGGAGTCAAACTTCTCTTCGCCAGACTTGTCAAACAAGGACAAGGTGAACTCCGGTGCAGTTTCCTCCCACATTAGATGCCGTTGCTCCGCGCGCGTTTCCACGGACGCCGCGGGTGAAACACGGGTCGGTTCTGCAAGGTGCCGCTGTGGATAAACGGACTGACGATCGCATGTGTGGCTCAAAAGTTGGCAATGTGCTGGCCAGCACTGTGTCCTGTCATCAAGAGGTGATGCAGCCAGGGTTCTCTCTGGAGCACCAGGCTCCTCTTCACATTCCACAACACTGGGACGGTCGGCGCCCCGCTGGCAAAACCCTAGCTGCATCACCTCTTGATGACAGAAGACATGTGCTGGCCAGCACGTTACCAACTTTTGAGCCACACATGCGATCGTCCTTTCTTTTAACCTGTCTGGCGAACTCTGCAAGAGCAGTTTGACTCCTCGTTTAAGCTTTTTTTGAGAGGGCCTTGAATTGTGAGAGGCGTCAATCTAGGAGTCGGCGGCAAGCACTCAGCAGCCTAATGGCTTGTAACCCCTCAAAAGTGTCCCTAGGCACACTCGGGGTGAGAAGAATCAGTGGTCAGGAGCGTCACATGGGCTACCCAGCTTTTTGCACCTGGCCGAAATTTGGCCTGGGGACAAATTCCACCAAGGACAGTTCTTGTGCAGTCTCATCATTGCATAGGGTTCTAAAGCCTCCGGTCTATTATGCCCTGGCTCATGATGGTCTTGAATTCTTCGTGACTCGTACGTGCCCCATATTTGTGGTTTCGGTCGAGTGAGCTTGGAATGGATGCCTCGTGAGAATTCAAGCTTTTGAGACATCATCAGTGTTGACAACATGCGGAATTGTCGTCATTCCAACTTTTTGTAGGACAACTCAGGGCTTTGTAACAATTCAGCAGGGAGCAAACACGCTCTTCAACCTTCCCAGCCGCTTGAGGTGCGGAACTATGTTTTTTTTTTAGGTTTTGTTTTTGTTTTTTGACAATGCTAGCAAACATAAAGTTGAGCATTGTTGCCAACATTGTGCATTTAGCATGTATCTCGAATGACGCGGCTCGGCGCATGCTCGTGTGCTGGATACTTTTCGCAAGTTCTGTGCTTTGATGGTGCGACATACCCCGTGGCATTTGGCTCGTTGCATGGAGCCATCTTTCTCCGGCTCCCTTGGCAGCGCTGTGAAATCAGTGGTGCAGAGGATGCCAGCATCTCAGTGCGGGGCTTGGGTGGGAAACGAAAGCCTGGTACCCAGGTTTCGATTTAGTTTTTTGTGTAATTTAGTCAATGCTTCCAGTTGCTGTTCAGCACAGCTCCCAGTTTTTTTGAAATCACTTCTTGGCCATTCAATTGGATAATATAAGAACCCTTGTTCTGACACATGAACGGCCTAGGCGTGTCTCACCGGGATGAGTCTGGACTCCTTGAACTTGGACACGCCGGGGACTTAACAGCGTTTTCTGGAGGTTTCTCAGTTAGACACCTCAGATTTTCTGGCAGTGTCTGGGGGGTGCTGGAGGCTTTCCGGAGTTTTTTTTTCTTCCACCCCCCGAGCGTTCCTCCAACAGTTTGCATCGACTCTGCCGTGCTCGGCAAGTGTCTGGCAAGGCGTGCGCAGCACAGAGACTCTTGTGCGAAGGTGCTCGTTGAGTCAGCCTGGCGAACAGAGGACTGTTGATCGCTACGCTGAGGGCCTGCTACATCGTCCATGGCACCAACTTCTTGGTTTCCAAAAGGCGGGATATAGACAAGCTGACTTCTCTGCTGTTCTTTTCAGGTTCACGTTTGTTGGCAAGACGGGCAAACTGTGAGGGTTTCGCAGCGTCCGGAGATTGACTTTCCATTTTCTGGCCAGGGCACGTGGCAGCCTTCACAATCGTCGGTGTGTTGTTTGGGTGTAGAATCACTTTTTGAACCCCTGGCTCTTGAGGGTAGATATACCCCCCCTTAACCACCAAAGCAGCAATCCAAACCACTGAAACACATGTTTCCCTCTTTCTCCCGCCGCACCCCACGAATGCTGAAAGAAGCCCTAGGGGTCTGGAGGGGGGGGTTGCAAGGTACACGGTGCTGGAGCAGGTGGGCCAGGGTGCCTATGGCATCGTCTGCGCAGCCCAGGAGTGCGGCGAAAACTGGGAGCCAAGACACAAGGAAACCTTGGTGGCTCCCAGGCATCCGGTTCCTTAGCTTTTTAGCCTTTTAGTGTTTAGTGGTAGTTTTCATTTAACCCACTAACAGGTGTCCGGTTCCTTAGCTTTTTAGCCTTTTAGTGTTTAGTGGTAGTTTTCATTTAACCCACTAACAGGTGTCCGGTTCCTTAGCTTTTTAGCCTTGTAGTGTTTAGTGGTAGTTTTCATTTAACCCACTAACAGGTGTCCGGTTCCTTAGCTTTTCAGCCTTTTAGTGTTTAGTGGTAGTTTTCATTTAACCCACTAACAGGTTTCCGGTTCCTTAGCTTTTTAGCCTTTTAGTGTTTAGTGGTAGTTTTCATTTAACCCACTAACAGGTGTTCGGTTCCTTAGCCTTTTAGCCTTTTAGTGTTTAGTGGTAGTTTTCATTTAACCCACTAACAGGTGTCCGGTTCCTTAGCTTTTTAGCCTTTTAGTGTTTTAGTGGTAGTTTTCATTTAACCCACTAACAGGTGTCCGGTTCCTTAGCTTTTTAGCCTTTAGTGTTTAGTGGTAGTTTTCATTTAACCCACTAACAGGTGTCCGGTTCCTTAGCTTTTTAGCCTTTTAGTGTTTAGTGGTAGTTTTCATTTAACCCACTAACAGGTGTCCGGTTCCTTAGCTTTTTAGCCTTTTAGTGTTTAGTGGTAGTTTTCATTTAACCCACTAACAGGTGTCCGGTTCCTTAGCTTTTTAGCCTTTTAGTGTTTAGTGGTAGTTTTCATTTAACCCACTAACAGGTGTCCGGTTCCTTAGCTTTTTAGCCTTTCAGTGTTTAGTGGTAGTTTTCATTTGACCCACTAACAGGTGTCCGGTTCCTTAGCTTTTTAGCCTTTTAGTGTTTAGTGGTAGTTTTCATTTAACCGACTAACAGGTGTCCGGTTCCTTAGCTTTTTAGCCTTTTAGTGTTTAGTGGTAGTTTTCATTTAACCCACTAAAAGGTGTCCGGTTCCTTAGCTTTTTTGCCTTTTAGTGTTTAGTGGTAGTTTTCATTTAACCCACTAACAGGTGTCCGGTTCCTTAGCTTTTTAGCCTTTTAGTGTTTAGTGGTAGTTTTCATTTAACCCACTAACAGGTGTCCGGTTCCTTAGCTTTTTAGCCTTGTAGTGTTTAGTGGTAGTTTTCATTCAACCCACTAACAGCTGTCCGGTTCCTTAGCTTTTTAGCCTTTTAGTGTTTAGTAGTAGTTTTCATTTAACCCACTAACAGGTGTCCGGTTCCTTAGCTTTTTAGCCTTTTAGTGTTTAGTGGTAGTTTTCATTTGCCCCACTAACAGGTGTTCGGTTCCTTAGCTTTTTAGCCTTTTAGTGTTTAGTAGTAGTTTTCATTTAACCCACTAACAGGTGTCCGGTTCCTTAGCTTTTTAGCCTTTTAGTGTTTAGTGGTAGTTCTCATTTAACCCACTAACAGGTGTCCGGTTCCTTAGCTTTTTAGCCTTTTAGTGTTTAGTGGTAGTTTTCATTTAACCCACTAACAGGTGTCCGGTTCCTTAGCTTTTTAGCCTTTTAGTGTTTAGTGGTAGTTTTTCATTTAACCCACTAACAGGTGTCCGGCTCCTTAGCTTTCTAGCCTTTTAGTGTTTAGTGGTAGTTTTCATTTAACCCACTAACAGGTGTCCGGTTCCTTAGCTTTTTAGCCTTTTAGTGTTTAGTGGTAGTTTTCATTTAACCCACTAACAGGTGTCCGGTTCCTTAGCTTTTTAGCCTTTTAGTGTTTAGTGGTAGTTTTCATTTCACCCACTAACAGGTGTCCGGTTCCTTAGCTTTTAGCCTTTTAGTGCTCAGTGGTAGTTTTCATTCAACCCACTAACAGGTGTCCGGTTCCTTAGCTTTTAGCCTTTTGGTGTTTTAGTGGTAGTTTTCATTTAACCCACTAACAGGTGTCCGGTTCCTTAGCTTTTCAGCCTTTTACTGTTTAGTGGTAGTTTTCATTTAACCCACTGACATGTGTCCGGTTCCTTAGCTTTTTAGCCTTTTAGTGTTTAGTGGTAGTTTTCATTTAACCCACTAACAGGTGTCCGGTTCCTTAGCTTTTTAGCCTTTTAGTGTTTAGTGGTAGTTTTCATTTAACCCACTAAAAGGTGTCCGGCTCCTTAGCTTTTAGCCTTTTAGTGTTTAGTGGTAGTTTCATTTAGCCCACTAAAAGTTAAACTCTTAGTGGGGGATCTGAGGGCGGCCCAGAAACCAGAAGGAAGCCCGGAGAGCCACGATCAATTCCCGGGTAGATGAAGGTTAGTAAGGGACAATTCCAACGATAAATAGTTGCGACCGCCTTCTTAATTCTTTACGTGGTTCTGGGTAGACTTTTTTGATACCGGGTTTTGATTATGACTCACAGGAGAACCGGCCGGGAAACCATGCAGAACAGCGACCCCAGAAGAAGCGTGAAATGCGTGGAAGAGCCAATGCTCGACGGCGGCATCCGTTGAACTTGGCTTCCTGGCTTTGGGACGGGGCCGATTCGCTGAAGATGAATTCAACCTCAAGCACATGACATTTGTTGCTGGCACAAAGAACGCACCCACACACACACAGTTTCCCGCACCACTCCCAGATACAAGGGTAGAGCACTCCCGTCCATGCGCCACATGATGTTCAAGACAAACGGATGTCCTGCTCGTGCTCATGTGGTTTGGTGACCAAACAACACACGGCATACAGAGCACCCCCGCCCTCAGCACTCCGACTCCGAGAGGACGAGGAGACGAGAGAAAACGTCGCGGTGAAGAAGATCGAGAATGCCTTCGAGCACATCACCTGCCCGGAAGCGCAGATAGAAAATTGGCTGTGGGTCAAAACCTGCACCACCCATTTAGTCGATTTTAGTTGGGATTGGGATGTTCACTGGGGCTACGGAATTTTTACCCATGGCCATTTTCCCGATTCTGAAGGGGTCGTGAAGGCAAAGGAAGCTGTGGAGGATCAGAAGATCCATATGGCTAACCTGGGGTTCGGGACTCAGGTCCTTTAGAGTAACCACACATTGTGACACGCGTTGCTGTTGGGAGGGATTGTACTGAGGGCTTACTTCAACCTTTACGAGCTTGGCAGAACCACAAGTCAATTGGGCTTGAACGTTGCTTTGACTACTCTTGTTTGCCTTTCACAGCTTTCTACACATTTGTTTGCACTTTTAGATGTGCAGGAGCACCGCGAGGAGTTGAAGCAAACATGGTAAGGATTGCTAGTAAGAGAAACCTGTCCGCTCCCCACGTCCCCTGTGCCAAAAACGCTGAACTGGACTCTGTTTTAGTTGCACCTCGTTGCTCAGCCACAACTCTGTGTAATTCCATCACCACATTTTCTACTAAGTGGACTCGCAGACATGGTTGCCAAGCTCTTGTCTTACCCTGCATCGAGCTGGGGTCTGCGCATGTGAAGAGCCAACAAAGCGTTTGTGGGTCTCCCGGTCCAGTGTTTTCCTTCCGAGAAGCGCCGAGAGAGAGTCTTCTGGGTGTAGGGAATACCGCCCTCTAGTCCCTCCCACCTGGCATTTCACATCTTGCACCCACCTACCACCTCCACTCCACCCCCCTCCTAACCTTCGCGGGACGCAGCCGCTGGGCCCAGTCACCAAGCGAACGCTGCGAGAGCTGCGGATCCTGCGGCACCTGCGCCACGAGAACCTCATCGACGTGAGGCGAGGTCCGAAGCTCGGGGAAGGCGTTGGGGCGAAGCTTGGGGAAGAAACGTTTTTTTGGGTGGAAACCCTCCAGATGTGGCAAGAAGTGGTCAAAAATAGGGTAACCCCAATATAGAACCCTGGTAAATGGAAACATGGACTAAAACCTGCGGTTCCCTGGTGGCTCAATTTTGACCCATACCCATGTGTCAACCAGAAGTTGAACCCTCCCGTTCGGTCAGCACCAAAGTGGCCGCTGCCGCTAACTTGTCTGACTCATTGTTTACCTGACAGCTCCTCCTCTGCCCAGTCTCTGTACATCCCAACGCTCTCAAGAAAGTGTCGAGACTAAGGACCCTTCCAAATAGTTGCCTCATTCTTTTAAAGGTTTTGATCCAAATCTCGGGTCCATGGTCGTGCGACCACATGTGTTTGCCAACCACATGAGCGGGCGAGTGATTCAATCGGCTTGGGTCAATCACAGTGAATGGTTGCTTGGATTGTTCATCAGCTCGGGTCCCTGCTCACACTATCCCCGACAGCACGGTCGCATTGTACTCTGTTTGTGGAAAGACTCGCAAGTCACAGGTCTTTTGTAGGCTTCACGGTTTTCCCAAAACCTGCGGCTTGTACAGGCTTCGCGCCTTGGACTGAGCGCAGAAGCAAGAGACTGTCCACGTACTCCCCGTACTCACGTGCGCGCGTCGCACACTAAAGCAGATCGGCGTGGCTCAGAAGGAAATGGTGACGACGCGAGCCAAAACAAGCTGCATTTTTGTAATTTGACGGGCTCGTGACAGCAAGCCTTCAGCCCTCTTGGCTGTGAGGAACATCTTCCTGGCCGGGACAAAGGATGACTTCGAGGCGACAAGAAGGGGCTGGGGCGGTTTTGTCAAATCAGGGTATTTAGCTTATGTATATCATATATACACAGAAAATTTACAATATGTAGTCTACACTATATATATATATATATGTATGTGTGTATATATATATATATATATACACATGCATACACAGTAATAAATACATATATACATACCTATCAGGAGGTACAGGTAAATCTGAATTGAAGCCTGGTTGATCTTCCTTCGGTTGTCTTCCGAAGTTGTGTTTTGCCAAAGTTGTGGTGACTAGTGGATGAAATCAAGGTCCAATGATGGCCTACTTTGCTCAAGGGGGGCCCTCCCTGTCCACTTGAGCCACAATCCAATCCCGGGTGCATGAAGCATGTGGCAGGAGATGCAAGCGGATATCCAAGCTTTTGACTCTTTACCACAGGTTTGTGTAGACCCCTTCTCGACCAGATTTAAGTACCCTGTCCTACAAGAGGGACCAGCCTGGATTTTGAATGTTGTGTCTCACCTGCCTCTCCAGGACGTCTACGTGATCTCCGAGCTGATGGAGACCGTCCACGGCTGAGCCGAAAGGGGGGGGGTCTTTGAAGACCTCGCCCGTTGCTTCGACGAGTTTGGGGGCCAAGGTTGGCGTTGGGGGGCCCCTTTCCCTTTGCCACTTGTTGGCTTTGAGGGTGGTAGAATGAGGCTAGTTGTTGAATGAAGAGCTTGGTGGTTTCACTGGCAAGAAACGAACAGATGGTTAAAAGGGGGTTTGAAAAAAAGACCCTGAAGATACCAAGCATGTCCCGCATGCATTCATCCAGTGACTTGGAAGGACCTACTGATGATGCTTGTGGACCTTGCTTGCGCCAAAAGAGTTAACACCCACACAACTCTCCAAACCAGCCAAAACGTAAGATCGAGTCCAACAGGCAGTGTCGACTTGCAACCTCAGAACAGGTCATCCTTGTCACTGGCCTCCGAGGATTTGGCTTCCATCCTGAAGTCAACGCAGCCTTTGACGGCACGCCTCGGGGAGGGCAGGAACTGAGGCTTACTTGGGAGCTTGGGAGCTTGGGGCTCTGTAGATTCTTCTCAAGCAAAAAGGAATTTAGTTCAAGTTGCCTTGCTCTGAGTGTTCTGTTTGAATATAGCCTTCTGATGCGCACCGATTTATTGGTGTTCCCTTCAACGTGCTCGGGCGGGTTCCTGCTGATTGACGCGTGGCAGTTTCTTGGTGTCACGCTTTTCCAACTCCTTGATCCTTAAACAGTGCGTCCACCCCAAGCAAGATGACATACATCGGTCAGAACGCGGGCTCCCATCTACTCTTTTCCAGAAGTGACATTCGTTCACGGCGATGACAAGAACAGCACTCACCTTTCTGGTGCGGACTTGGGGTGCAGCGCACAGCTCACAGATACTTGGCACAGTGGGCCCTCAAGGAATCATCGCCAAAAGCAGGCGATGCAGTGGGAGCCGGTGAGCTTGCTATGGGATTTAAGGAGATGTTTTGTTTCGTCATTCTGCGTGTCTGGAGTTGAGAATTGGAATCAAGCCAAGAAGCATACGTTTGCAATACTTCAATGGTTGCAGGGGTAGAGCATCCTCAATGCTCCAGTCCTCTTTTTGGCTCCAGGACGACCACTGTCAGTTCTTCCTGTACCAGATCCTGCGTGGCATGAAATACGTCCACTCTGCACAGGCCGGCGGCGCTGCGGAGCCCTCTGAGAGTGAGAATCGATGAATCGGGGGCCAGGCTTCCAGGGCTTGAAGCCGCCGGTTCAGTAGTTTTAAGATGTGTGAAGGGGGACAGTAGCCACTGGTGATTCTGACCTGGCTGTGGGTCAAAAATAGGTACCCCAAATGGAACCCTGGCAAGTGGAAACATGGACCAAAACCTGTGGTCCGTTTCCTGGTGGTTTAATGTTGACCCACACCCACCTGTCCATATCTATGGATGCTGGCCATTGCTGTGAATCATGGCTCGAGGTGATCCACAGGGACTTGAAGCAGCGCCCTCAGCGGATTCGTGGGGCCTGGTTGAGTTCCAAGAAGCGTCTCGCATGACCACAGCAACGTGGTTTTGTTGGTGCTTGGTGAAGAAGTCTTGAAGCTGGCAGTATTGAAGCCACGAGGTTTACTATTCTCATTTCGGCATTTTAAGAGTTGTGACTCGAGCGCTGGTGATTTGTAAAATCTTGGGCTTCATGTCAATGCAAGCAGTTTGTTGGTAAACCCACCATCACGTGCCAGCTAGATCCATGTTGTTCGTCGCTTTCCGCTCTTGTTTCTTTCTGCTCTTGCAGTTTATACGATGTATATTGAAGCGAGCAGTCATGAGTCATGGTATTTTTATTATGAAATCAGTCAGTGTGTTCTGCTCCGGCATTCTTTTGCTCGCCCATGGAGACTGCTCTGGAGGCCTCGGAACCTTCTGGTCAACGGCAACTGCCCCTCGGTCGCACCGATCGGCAACCGATCGGCAGCTTTGAGCCAGGCGACTGGTCGCCTGGCCCCGCCCTTCCTTGTCTTGCTGCGGGATTAGGTTTTTTTCAGTACCCTTTTCGGGTTGGGTTGAAGGGACAGCTTGACATTACCACCTATCGTCGCTAGTTGCTCCACCCGTGCGGGCGCAGGCGGCGCGTGGAGTTTTGCAATAACCCCCCCCCCCGCTGCGGTTGGGAGGTTGGATTTGCACGCTACCTTCGACAAGTAAACCATATTTTGCATATATATATATATATATATAATATCTTTTACACATAGCAATGTCATGTGGCGTCATGTAATGTCATTGTCAATGTCAATGTCAATGTCAATGTCAATGTAATGCAATGTAGTGTAATGTAGTGTATGTGTTTGATACTATAGTGCATATTTTGTGATATAATGTATCACATATACTACGTTTCCTTCATCTGCTCTCGCCTGTTGGATCAACCCCAACTATCCGAAACTTGTTGGGTCTGAGGCCACTTCACGCAAAAGCATGGGCAGCATGGTCATAAATGTAACTCAAAGATAATACTCTAACTTGACGTTTTAGTCCTTGAGTCATTCTTGCATATTTACTGGCCGGAGGTTGAATTTGTGTATACAATATTTCTAAGTTTCCCCCCCCGAAATGAGCGGTTTCAACTTCGTTTCCCTTTAAAACCCACCAAGCCCAAGAGTTTCTATTTGGAAGCAGGCAGTAGTGGGGCCGCGAGTAGCAACCTTGGCCCAAACAAGCGGTTCCTATCTTAAGGTTGTTCACTTGGGAAGTAGAAGCCCAGAGGCTTTGCACTTTCTTGGGCGGGAACCTTTTGAGTTAAGCAACCCTGTGTCAGGCGTCCTTGTATGTCCAATTTCTGGGTGGTTTAAGCAACGGGCCATACATTGCGTAAGTTTCCCGTAGGTGGAGTGAAGTTTCAACGGCGCATATAGAGCCTTTTGCTTTTTTTGACGGTATCCTTTCTGGTTTTGCAAGGGCACCCCCAGAGAAAAGCCAAAAACACTTTGCACCACGCATTTGGGGGGTATATTCCGTTGGACCAACCCGTAGCCCGTCCTCTCTCGGCTCGACTCTCAGGTGACCTGAAGATCTGCGACTTCGGGCTGGCACGGGTCAGCTTCTCCAAGGACTGAGATCGTTGCAAGAGAGATCCTCCAGGTCACCCAAAACCTGCTTTTCATAGAGTAGACATGTCGTGCCGCATCATATTTTGGACCAATCAAAGGAATAGACATCTTAAATAAAGTGCCCCGCCATATTGGATTGGATACACGTTCCTGTTATCATAGTTTGGACCAATTTTGTTCCAAGCGATGGCTTGAAAGGACTGGAGCCAGGCTTTTGGGGGAGCAGTGTTGCGAGGAGTTTCAAACCTGCCCGATGACAGAGTACGCGCGGATCCCAACTGGACAGACACCTGAAACAGATGCGTACAATTCATCGGGGGTCTTTGGTGGACATCACTTGCATGGGGATTCGTGTCCAATTTTGAGGCCAACAACAGGGTCCCATATTCAGATTTATGAGAAGGTAAGACCTGAGTTTGGTGCTTCGTGACTGGAAAGGATGTAGGATGTTGGAGAAGGAGCTTGTCTGGCTTTAGTTGTTGTTTGTGTGTGTGATTATTGGCCAGTTTGACTTTGTTGCTTGTTTGCCTGCGTGCCTGTCTGCCTCTTTGCCTACCCGTCTTTCGTATGTTTTGTGCTTATGACCAAAGCAGCTCATTACTCTCGCCCACAGGGCCTAGGCAAACCGACAGGCAGGCTTTGCGGTGGACCTTTCAGGGAAAACAAGTTTTTGCCTCATGAAAGGATGGCTTTCAAGCAGTGCCTGGCAATTTGTCTCTGAATGGTGAAAGTGCAGTGGTCGACGGTACACATCCAGCAGATCTCCTTAGCCGACTTGCTTGGCTGCATGGGTATGTGTCAAAATAGGGAAGCCTTTACACAACCTGTCAAAAGGGCACCCTCAAAACATGACACCCGGATCGTATCTCTGAACCCAATTCCGCCAGATGCTCATGCCGCAGTGCATCAGGTGTGCACGCGTTGGTATCGCGCCCCAGAGGCTCTGCCGTTCCGCGAGAAGAGAGGGCAGGAAAAGGAAGAAGACGGGGCGCGAGCAGAGAGGGCAGGGAAAGGAAGAGGAAGGGGCGTGAGGTCTAGAGCAAGTGAGATGAATGTTCTCTTGGCTGAGCAGGGGTCCAGCGGGCAAAGTTTATGTTAGAGTTGGGATTTCAACCTCCAGCCTCCTTCCTGAAGGCTAAGGCGAGACATGCTGAACAACTCTTGCACTGAACTAGAACCCAGCAAACCAACCAAACCCACCAAGCAACCCACCAACCATTCAACCACCCAGCAAGACACCAACCCTTCGGAACTCTTGACTTGGAGGTGCTTTGCTCCTGGGTCGACTACACCACCGCCATCGACATCTGGTCCATCGGGTGCATTTTTGCGGAGGCTCACTGGGTCAACGCCTGGGGCGGGGATCTTTAGAAGAACTGACGGATAGGAAAATAATGAAGAATCTTTGAGAGTGCTCACTACGCTTCTGGGCTCGAGAGAAGGCAAGCTGGGAGCTTCCGGGATGTGACTGTGTGGTTGGAACCCGACGCTTGCACGGGCTCGATAGACTTCTAAAGGAATTCATGTGGGCAGCGCGAAGCACGCTGCGACCACGCTTTGAGGTGTGGGGAAGGACAGATGGTTTGTTATTCTCAGGCCGTGTGCCTTCCCGGGTTGCCCACACACGCCCCCAACCGCTCTGAGCTGCAATACCCGCCCCACTTGGGGTATCAGAAAGGACCTCAGCTGCTCAGGGTTTTGCGAAGTTTATTTGAACCACGCGCTGGTCTCCCCTTTAGAGGGAGATCAACGAGGTTTCTTGGGTTGCTGTCCAAAGTGCCGTTGGATTGGTTTGGGTTAACCCAAAGGTTTCCATCTAATTATGGACCCATGGTTTCCGGGTTTCCATGGGACCCATGGAACTGGAAGACTCCCAACTCTGGTTGGCAAATTTGCCGGTTGAACGTCGGGGTGTCGACCCCGACTCCCGGGGTCGGTTGACTCTCCGGCAGATGCTGGAGCGGAAGCCGCTCTTCCCGGGCCATAACACGCAGCACCAGCTACAGGCCCGTCGGACGAAAAAGGGGCGGGGGAGAAGGTTTTGGATGGCTGTTGTCAAAGCCGTTTTGGTTAATCCCATTTTGGGTAGTAGGTGTGAATTCACCACCCATTTTAGAACCTATTTTAGTGGGGATTGGGATGTTCAGTGGGGGTACGGGATTTTTGGATTTTGACCCATGGCCATATAGAGGTCATTTTGCCAAGCCCCAGCCAATACTCGTAAAGGAGGTGGTTGCGAAAGAGACCCTATGTGTTCATGAGTGGGGAAGAGGGGGGTGGCGCTTTTGAGGCTGGTGTGAAGGGAGGAAGCCGGGCGTTTCCTGAGCGGAAGCGGGGGTGGGATTTCGTTGCGTCAGATGTTTGGGTTGAGTGGATGGCAGACAAGTGCAACGTTTTCACAATTGTATTCTTCGAGCATTGCATGGCTTCCTCTCTTGAGCCAGGCGATCATCAGCTTTGTGGGCAAACCCGTGCCGGAGGAGCCGGCGAAGCATCGCATTGGTGCGAGCCAAATGAAGTTGATCAGCCAAGTGGGAATGTATGACAACCAGAATCTCCGCGTGGCAGGCTTGCTACTGTGGATGGACGAAATCCTGCACCACCCAGGAAATCCTGGAATGATTTTTTTCTCTGTAAATACCAGCAAACTATGTTTTTTTTTTTTGTTTTTTTTTTTTATTTTTTTTTTTTTTTTACCGTGGTTTCTTAGGTAGTGCAGGATTTCGTCCATCCACAGTATGATCTCTAGCTTTGCAAACTCACGAGAGGATGGGCCTTCAGTTTGCCAAACATGGGCTGTTCAGAGGGCCTTCTCGAAAGGAGTTGAGCAAGATCAAGAATGAGAAGTGCAGGCCTGAAGCGGTCCTTCAGAGCGTTTCTCATTGATAGCCCCTTGGTGCGAGCGGGTGGCTCTGTGTTCAGTTTCTCAAGTGGCGGATATCTACTGAACTTCTTCAAACAATTGAGCGTGTCGTTGCTTCTCCGAGGCTATTTACCCCAGCTGTATTTCTCGTTTGTGTTGTGAGGGTTAAGGGTGGGTAGACATGGATGACTAATTTGGCTTGCTTTTTTGTAGTTGCGGAGAGCATGCGCTGGGCGATGTGAGACCTGTCATGTTTTTTTTTTGCGCATTTTCACCCTTGGACTCAGTGGGACGCCGGATTTTTGCGATACTTTGCGGACTCCTCGCGAGCAGAACTTTCATTTGGAAGCTCTATTGCAGACAGTGACAGTGTCCAGAATTCGGATGTGCTGGAAATGAGGACATGTTGGGTTGGGAAGGGCTAAGAAGAAGGGCCTAACAAATGAAAACCATGGCGTGCAGATGGTGACAGTGTCCAGAATTTGGATGAGGAAATGTTAGGTTGAAAAGGCAACTGCACGGAAGCCTAACAAGATTGAAGTGACTTCCGGCAGGCGATTCATTGAGTCCTTGCCCGCTACCCCAGCCCGGAGCCCCCGAGCGGACGGGGCTGGACCCTGGGACCCTGGTTGCTGGGAAGTGCGAGGAAAGCCCCGGCTTGCGCGTGGTGTTCCGTCCGAAAAATTCAAAGGCCTCTGAAACGAGCGCGGTGAACCAGGGGGGCAGCGGCATATGTTTTCTCCCCAAGAGACATCACAGGGGGAACACGTGGAAATGTGGATGGACAATATCCTGCACCAGTTGAAAATGCTGGAGTAGACCACCTTTTGGCCGGTGCAGGAGGTTGTCCATCCGCAGTAATTGTTGTATGCTTGATGTGTCGGTCAGCATTTCAAGAGTTGCTTTGTGCGGCATGCTTTCTTTTTGCACTTGTGTCAAACGCCATTTTGGGTGTACGGTTGCTTTGGAGGTTGACAGCTGTTGTGGATAGTTGCTCTCGGCAGACTCGTGAGACGATACTGTAAGTCTGCTGCTGGTCACAGTGATTGGTAGGCACGATGAAGCATACTTTATGCTCTCAGCTGGCCGTTCTCTCCCCAAATAGCTGACAGCTATATGAGACAGAAGCTCTAACTTCAAGTAGAGAGGGGCGGGTGCCACAAAAAGGGCTGTTGTGCAGGCTGCTGGTGTAGGGTGCTGTTGCGGGGTGCTTGCAGCAGGATGTTGTTGTGCAAGGGGCTGTTTAATGTTGTAGGGCAGAGTGCTGTTGAAGGATTTTGGCGCAGCCATACAGTCGAGCGCTCAAGCTGGTTTCTCCGTGTTTTCTACTGAGATTCAATCTTGCCATTTGGTGTCTTTGCTATTTGGTGTCTATGCTAGTGCAATTTTGGTTTCGATTTGCTTTTGCAAAGCAAGCAATTGAACGAACCACCTGCAGCTTCAGGCGTTCGCATGAATCAACCCCTGGTCGATGTTGATCGGAAGGTTGCCATTCTATAGGGAATAAGAGTCACTTTTTTCTTTTCTTCTTTTTTTTTGGGGGGGGGAACGCCCACCTTTTCATCAGGTATGCGTCCTCAAAACGATTGGGTGCTTTTCGCCTCAAAGTCATCTGTTTTCTGAGAGTATTTCTTGGGTTGCGAAGGGCCCATTGGTTTCAACCCAAATCCAGGTTGATTCCGTCGACCTGTCAGGGCCAGCAGTTGGAGGACCTCTTTCCAGAGGCGACCGCCGGGAGGGCGGGAGGGCGGAGAGTGGGACCCGTTTCAACAAACCCAGCGCGCCTTTTTACTTTTCCGGGGGCCACCCCGGAAATTCAGGACATTGCTTGCGACCAACCCGCCGAAAAAAAGGGGGTGCCCTCAATGGGGTATGGGTCAAAATTAAACCGCAGGTTTTGGTCCATGTTTCCACGGCAACCCATTTTGGAGTTCCAGTTCTTTGAGCCAATTGACCCTGGCCTTCCTGAGCCTCGAGGCAGGCCTGCGCCTGAAGCTTTGGCCAACGGTGTGAGATACGCGCGGGATCTTCCTACCTCTCCCAATCGGTGCGTTTTCCTCCTTTTTTTTTTTTTCTCTCGGGTGTGATGGCTTCGGCTTTTTTGGATATTCTTCCGGGTCAGACTCGTATTCAGAGGTTGCTCATGGCCAAGCAAAACACAAAACAAGCACGCAAGGCACTCCGGCAAGCACGCCAGCAAGGAGGTGGGCAGGCAAGCAAGCAAGCAAGTAAGCAAGCAGGCAGGCGCCAGTAAGCAGGCAGGCAGGCAAGCAAGCAAGAAAAACAAACAGCAGAGGGTTCTCACAGCTGCGCGAGGCCCCGCCAAGCGCCCTCGAGTTCCTCAGCGCCACGCTGCGCTTCGACCCTGAGCAGCGCGTGCCGGTCACGGAGGCCCAAAGATGGGGAACTCTTTTCTTTTGGAGTTTTCACGCACACACACACACACACACAGACGTGCGTGTGGGCGACATCCACGGCAGCGGACGTATCCTGATTTGGCTGAACATAAGATGGAGTTCCAATGATGCAGATGATACATATATCTACATGTATGTATATATATATATATGGTCCCGTGTTCCATGTTGCTACCCCCGCCCCCCCCCCCACCCCCCCGGAGGTATGGGTTTCCCAGGCCCCCCCGGGCCCGAGACCCCAAGCCCCCGGATCCTGGCACCTATGGTCCCACCCCCACCCCGACCCCCTGAACTCGCACCCCGACACCCCGGCACCCCCACCCCCAGGACAAGGCAACCCACAACCAACCATAAACCAACCCTAAACTAACCTTAAACTAACCCTAAATACACCCTAAACCAAACCCTAAACAATAAACTCCATTTTTGTATCTGTAAAACTTCGTTCTATGCCGTGACATTCTTTGACTTAAACGTTTATCGCAAGTGCTTCCTACATAACATTTGTTATATCCAACATCAACAACTTTGTACATTTTCCCATTTTGATATCTACTATCCATTGATAACCTTAGTTATCTATTCTTTAACGTAGTTTGT